ACTGTCGACCCTAGAGTTGGGGACCCTGGGGCTGGAGGTGCCAGTTCTGGGGGTGCTGCTCCTGGTGGCGCTGGAGCTGGAGGTTTTGGAGCTGGAGGTGCTGCTGCTGGAGGTTCTAGAGCTGCTGGAGGCGCTGGAGCTGGAGGTGCTACTACTGGAGGCGCTGGAGCTGGAGGTTCTGGAGCTGCTGGAGGCGCTGGAGCTGGAGGTGCTGCTACTGGAGGCGCTGGAGCTGGAGGTTCTGGAGCTGCTGGAGGCGCTGGAGCTGGAGGTGCTGCTGCTGCAGGCGCTGGAGCTGGAGGTTCTGGAGCTCCTGGAGGCGCTGGAGCTGGAGGTGTTGCTGCTGGAGTCACTGGAGCTGGAGGTTCTGGAGCTGCTGGAGGCGCTGGAGCTGGAGGTGCTGCTGCTGGAGTCACTGGAGCTGGAGGTGCTGCTGCTGGAGGCGCTGGAGCTGGAGGTTCTGGAGCTGCTGGAGGCGCTGGAGCTACTGGTACTGGTGGCACTGCACCGCCGCGACTGTTTTTCACTCCGCCGTCACCGTTGTCTCTGCCACCGCCTGACTCCATGCTTTGCCAGGTTCTTAGCCTCCCGTCTTCTACTGGCCTCCCGTTACAGCCCGGCGCACCACTGCCTACTCCTTCTCCTTACACTGAGCTGACAGACTCGCTTACAGAGCGTCGCGAGCCTGCGTCCCGTCCTGCCTCGCCTGTTCGCACTGGTCGTCGTGTTCCTCGTGAGAGTCCTCCTCCTGTCCCCGGCATGCATACTATGGCACTTCGTCCTTCCTCTGTTCCACAGTGTGTTCCCATGCCGTCTCCTCCTGCATCCTCTCTTCCTGACGTTGCTGACCCGCCGTCAGACCTTGCTTGTGCTGCAGTCCTACTGTCACGCGTCTGCTAGCCACTGTTGTCACTGACCCGTCGTTTGAGTCTGCTGCTGCGTCTACCCTAGTTGCTGAGCTTGTAGACTTTGCTGCCGCTTGTCGTCTCGACTACGCCGCTAGTCTTGTTGCTGAGTCTGAGTCTGTCTGTCCTCCGTCCGTCGGGGGTGAGTGTGCTCTTGGCACGGACGTCCTTGAGGACAGGCAGAGGAATTTGAGTGTCTTGCAGCCGCTGCGCCTCATCTCGTGGCCATGCTGCTTGCCCCTGAGGGAGACCCGGATGCTCCAGACATCCCGACCCCGCGCTCTTACGCTGAGGCGATCGCGGGTGAGTACTCCTCTCAGTGGCAGACAGCCATGGACGCACAGATGGCATCCTGGAAGTCCACATGCACTTACGTCGACGCAGTTCCCCCTCCTGGGGCGAACGTAGTCGTTGGCATGTGGATTTTCAGGGTGAAGCGGCCGTCGGGTTCTCCGCCTGTCTTCAAGGCTCGTTACGTTGCATGAGGCTTCAGTCAGAGACAGGGAGTTGACTTCTTCCAGACCTTCTCCCCCACCCCGAAGATGACCACTCTTCGGGTGCTGCTGCAAGTTGCCGCTCAACGTGACTACGAGCTCCACTCTCTGGACTTCAGCACAGCGTTCTTACAGGGCAGTCTGCACGAGGAGATCTGGCTGCGCCGCCCACCTGGCTTCACTGTGTCGTTCCCTCCTGGTACCCAGTGGAGCCTCCGCCGGCCAGTCTACGGTCTCCGTCAAGCGCCTCGTGAGTGGCACGACACACTGAGGATGACACATGCGGCTCTTGGGTTTGCACCTTCCACTGCTGACCCGTCGCTGTTTCTGCGCACCGACACTTCGTTGCCGCTGTTCTACATCCTCGTGTACGTCGACGACTTGGTCTTTGCCACTGCTGACACTGAGGCTCTCGCCCTTGTGAAGTCGGAGCTGCAGAAGAGACACACGTGCACAGACCTGGGTGAGCTGCGCAGCTACCTTGGCCTGCATATCATCCGGGACAGAGCACGGCGCACCATCACACTGACTCAGTCACACATGGTGCAGCAGGTCCTTCAGCGCTTCGGCTTCACTTGGTCCTCGCCACAGTCCACTCCCCTGGCTACAGGTCACTCGCTCTCAGCTCCACCTTCGGACGAGTCCGTAGAGCCGAGTGGTCCGTACCCAGAGCTAGTGGGCTGCCTCATGTACCTGATGACCTGCACTCGTCCAGACCTTGCGTACCCTCTTGGCCTTCTGGCACGCTACGTGGCTCCTGGTAGGCACCGAAAGGTGCACTTCGATGCTGCGAAGAGGGTACTACGCTACTTGTGCAGTACATCGGGCATGGGGCTCGTGCTTGGAGGGCGGAGCTCAGTTGTCCTCACTGGGCACTCAGACGCTTCTTGGGTTGACGACCTGGCTACGCAGTGGTCGTCACTGGGTTACACGTTCAGCCTTGGCTCTGGCTCTGTTTCTTGGCGGTCTACTCGCTCGTCTTCAGTTCTCAGTTCCAGTTGTGAGGCTGAGATCTACGCCACAGCCATGGCTGCACAGGAGTTACGATGGCTCACCTACCTGCTGACCGACTTGGGAGAGAGGCCTCGTTCTCCTCCTATTCTGTACGTCAACAACAATGCTGCCATTGCCTTGTGTCAGGAGCACAGACTGGAGCACAGAACGAAGCACATCGCTCTGCGTTATTTCCTTGCTCGAGAGTTGCAGCAGCGTGGTCAGCTTCGTGTCGCTCACGTGCCCACCCGGGCAAACACGGCTGATGTGTTCACAAAGGCCCTTCCGGCTGGTGATCATCAGCGCTTCTGCACTGCTCTAGGCCTGGTGCCTACGTTTCCTCACTTGCTGTAGACTTTGCTTGTACTGTGATCTATATTGTATACATGCATGCCTACTCCTGCTAGGTAGTGATCACTGTACTGTTGTTGTTGCATATATACCTCTGCATGTGAACTGGCCCTGTGGCCCTTTGCTTGTGCTTGGAGTGTGTGGTGACGTTGTGATCCACCTTGAGCTTGCTTTGCTCTTCTTGACTGGTCTTGTGATCCCTTGTTCTCCCCCACTTTGCCTATGGGGGTGTGTCAAACTATATATGTGCTAGTTCTGTGTAGGCTATAGTGGGGTAGCCTGTATGGGATACAACCAAATGTTAGGGTTAGTACTTGCACCCACAATCCTTTCAATGCAGTCATTCGTGCTTGCTATCTTGACAATATCAACAGTGATGATTTTTTTTTTTTTTTTTTTCTGTTCTCATTTAGACCCAAAATCATTTGCATTGTTATAATGAAATAGCAAAACCAGTTGTCGCGTTTAAGATGTAAGAACAAGCATAAGTTATTACATTGTAAAATACTTATTCAGTTATCGCTTTGTCGCCTTGTCTCCGCCACACGAAAGCGCAGGTACATAAGGGAAGGGTGCAAATACATCAAAAACTTTAGTGCATTCTCTCTTTATTGCCTGGACATTTGTAACACTGGGGATACATGCCCATACCTCCCTCCAACCCCGAAAGCGGCATCCCATTTCTTGTAGAGGTCGCCGTTGACGACCGCTGCACGAGCGCGGGTTGGATCTCTGAGGCACCGTGATTCTCAGGTGCGTTGATCTCCTCCCTCCCCTCACTGAAATTCTCTAACTTTCTCACATCGTTCGTAGGTTATGTGTGTCGATTGGTCTCCTCTTGCATTGCACAACCATTTGAAGAGGGGGAGAGAGGGAGCGCGAAGGAGAGTACTTATAACGGAAGAGCTGGAAGGAACAGCTGGAAGGAGCGAGGGAGGGAGCACCAAGAACGTGAGCGTCGGAGGGAGAGGCGGGAGAGATAGCGCCGTGCGCGCCGTGGGCGCTTGCGCCTAAGCCGCTTGCGCCTATGACGCTTGCGCCTAAGCCGCTTGCAATAGGGCGCTGGCACCGTAGGCGCTTGCGATTAGAGCATGAGTGTGTGTGTGGTTGCAAGAGTTGAGTGCGAGAGTGTGAAGAGGGTGAGTGCGGGCGTGAATCTTGGTGCGAGTGCGGGTGTCAGTGCGAGAGTGAGATGCGCGCATGCACTTTAGGGTGAGTGCAGTTGTGAGTGCAAGGGCGAGTGCGAAGGTGAATGAGAGCAAGTGCGAGCGTGAGTGCGAAAGCAAGTGTGTGAGAATGAGTGTGAGGGCGAGGGCGAGTTTGAGAGTGAGTATGTGTGTGAGTGCGAGGTTGAGTGCAAGGGCGCGGGTGTGAGTGCAAAGGGGAGTGTGAAAGTGCTTTCGAGTGCGCGTGCCAGGTTGAGTGCAAGGGCGCGGGTGTGAGTGCAATGGGGAGTGCGAAAGTGCGTTCGGGTGTGCGTGCGAGGTTGAGTGCCAAGGGTGCGGGTGTGAGTGCAAAGGGGAGTGTGAAAGTACGTTCGAGTGTTTGTGCTAGGTTGAGTGCGAGGATGAGTGCACGTGTTTGTGTGTGTGTTTCTGTGAGTCTCGAAGATGAGTTTTGAGTGAAGAGCGAGTGCGAGAGCAAGTTTGAGTGTGAGAACAAGGGTGATTGCGGGTATGAGTGCTGGTGTGGGTGCGAAGGTGCATGCGATGGCATGTGCGAGAGCAAGTAGGAGAGTGAGCGCGAGTGTGAGTGCAAGGGAGAGTGCGAGTGTGAGTGCGTGTGTATGTGTGGGTGTTCGAGTGAGCGTGAGCGTGAGTCCGAAGGTTAGTGCGATGCGAGGGTTCTTGTGTGTTCTCTGCGAGTGTGTCTAAGTTCGATTGAACGTATTTGAGTGTTGGTGAGTTGTTGCGAGAGTGAGTGCAACCGTGTGCGAGAGGCTAGTGTAGGTTTGAATCCACAATTTCTTACAATCAATTTCAATTGCGTGTCTCTGTTCTTGAATCCCAAACTCCGAGGATTGTTTGGGTTTGGAAGCTGCCAAGGGCATTTCCAATCCTCTGCCAAGCCGAAGGTTCATAAATCGTGCCCTGAAACTTGAGAACCTCGCAAACTTGAGTCCATTGAAAACTCGCCCTCTCTTTTCCCCCATACCCCTTGTTCCCTCTCTCCTTGGCCAGTAACCTTAATCCACCCTTCCTTGCCCCTCGCCACTGCGCCACGCGCCGCTACAGCTGTCCATCTCTCCCCTGCCCTCATGGCACACACCGCGCTTCTGCCGCCCGCCGCTCTCGTGCCCACTATCGCACCATGCCTGCACGTCGCCTCGCTGCGCGGCAGGCCAGCGGCATCCCTCCCTGCACTCGCTCACCCTGCCGGGGCCTTCACGGGGCTGCACGCCCCGGCGGCAGTAGCAGCAGCGCGCCGAGCGGTGAGGGCGGCAGCAGCATCGCAGGAAGAGAACGGGTCGCTGCGGACGCAGCCAGGCCAGGAGCAGGGAGGGGAGGAGGGGGGCGAGGCGGAGGAGGCGGACCCCGTGTTGGAGGAGGCGAGGCGGCGCAGGGCGGAGTGGCAGGCGCCGGCGCCGACGCGCGTGGAGGCGATCCTGGACGTGCTGTTTGTGTTCGGCGGGCTGCTGGACCGCCCGTTCGGGTCGGGGCAGAGCATCGCGGCTGCGGGGCGCGTGGTGCTGGCGCGCGTAGAAAAAGAGGTGCAGGCGCTCAGGCAGGAAGGCGAGGGGGGCGGGGGCGCCGCCGCCGCCGCTGCTGCTGCTGCTGTGCGCACTGGCGCGGCGGCTGTTCCGCGGAGTGGGATGGAGGGTGTGGCGGTGGAGGGAGCAGCAGCAGGGGGGGGTGGTGAAGGCGGGAAGGGGGCGGCGGTGAACCGGCAGCAGGTGTTGTTTGAGTTGACGCGGGTGGTGCAGCTGCTGGGCGTGGACATGCAGATGGTGGGCGCTGCTGTGAAGGAGGAGACGCTGCTGAAGCGCCTTGAGGAAGCCAAGAGCCACTGCCAGCTCGCAATGCGCCTCGCCAATAGCCTTTGACGTGTCACGTGTTTAGGGTTGCCGGCCTTGCCAGCTGGTGCATGGGTGCACATCGCAATAATGTGGGAGTTAATCTTAGGAAGTTTTGATGCCTTCTTTTATAAGCATTGGACAACTCTGTCTGTCGTCCATGCTCTTTCCATGCTATGAAGACACCCCTTCATAAGTATCGACAGTAATGTCAGTAAATAAAACGACGTTTATACAGTAGCATCTGACATGGTGAAAGTGCACTAAGAGAGAAAGCGAAGCAAATTCAGACGAGAGAAGCACTTCGCCTCGTTGACGTACAGACTGCCAGTGGTCAGCACACTGTGCTGCCTAGCAAACTAGTTACCGCTTTGCGAACCTAATCGCCGCTACCATTGCCACTTGCACAAGGTGAGCCGCCGCGGGGCTAGTGCCCACACTCCGCGCCCGCAACTCACTCATCGCCCCGCGCCCACTCTCTCTCTCTCCGCTGCTCCGCCCGTCGCGCGCGCGCCGCCTCCCGCTTTCCACCCTCCATCTGCGGAGCGGCTCCGTGCCGCCGCCCTCTCCCCGCCTCTCCCCCGCGTCGCCGCCACCCCGCCTCCCACTCCTCTCAACTTTCCCTCACTCCCCCGTTTCCCCTTTTTTGCGCCACTCGTCCCCCCATCCCTCCCCGTGCGCACGCGGACCCGCGCCACTCTCAATCAACGGCACTCCCTGCCTGCGCCACGCTCCCCCTCCTCTCGCTCTCCTGCCCATCTTCGCTCTCCCCCGCCCTTCGCCTTCCACGCTTCCCCACTCACCTGCCCTTTGCCCCACTCACCCCCTCCTTGCCCCTTCCCCGCCTTGCTCCTTCCCCGCCTTGCCTCTTCCCCGCCTTGCCTCTTCCCCGCCTTTCCCTCCGTCCCTCCGTGCACCATTCACAGGGCAGGCGTGGGGCCATGGCTGCCGTCACCACCCCCACCCCCACCGCCACCACCACCTCCACCATCACTGCCGCTCAACCGCCTTCACACTTGTGCCTTCCCCTTGCCCCGTCCCCTCCTTGCCCCCCTTCCCTCCTTGCACCGTTCACAGGACAGGCGTGGGGCCATGGCTGCTGTCGCCACCACCCCCACCAACACCGCCACCACTTCGAGCATCACTGCCGCTCAGCCGCCTTCCACCATCCCTCCCGCCAACCACACATGGTAACCATCCACCCAGCCCAACCACACATGGCAGCCCAACCAAAGATGGTACCGAACCCCTCTGTGCCGGCGAGTGGCGTTTACCCCAGCCTCTCCATAGCCATCTTGTTCCATCCGCACTTCCACATCTTCCCTACCAGTTCTCACCTCCACACCATCTATTCTGCACCCAGAGGTGGGGACTCGCATTTTCCACACCCCTGACCGCTTGGGGTCATGCAACGCTGATGGCCTTCCCTGCAGCAGTTGCCAGTGCACGCACACCCACATATCGTGAAAAAAATCTCCACCCGTCTGAGTCTGAGACGCTCAGACTTCATTGCCGTCCGAGTCGCCTCTCTGCTAGTACCTTACTGCGTCACTTCCCTTCTCCTTCTCAATCCTTCCCTTCTCTGTCCTTCATTAAGGTTCCCCCTCTTCTGTTTCTCTCGGCCAGGCTACCCAGCAACAAGCTACAGTCTCCTCTCTCTCACTCCAGTCCCTCGCCTGAGTTCCTCTGCACAGCTACCCTCCGTGGATAGGTTAGGAAAACGATTTGAAGTAGCACAAGAAAGAAACAAGCGAAAAGCAATGGCATGAGAGTCCTCCCTCCCTACCACTTGAACCCCTCCGATCCCTGCTCCATCCTGCCTACTTCCTGCCTAGCGGCTGTGAGTCTGCCGAGCTAGCCACGCAGAATTTAAGGTGCTAGGTGTCTCGGATTAGGGCCCACTGGGCATGCACAGCCATCTAGGCTGCTTAACGGTGAATCCAATTGCGTGTTTTGAGACGTCTCAAAACTCAGCCATGCACATCGTCTCCCTCCTCCTCCGCCATCCTCGTCCCCGTGCCTGCTCCATTCAACGCCCCCCGATCTCCTCCCTTCCTCTCCCCCCCTCCCTGTGTGCAGTGAGCTGCGGCTGGCGTGTGGCTCACTTGCACCTCCCTCCTCCTCCACCCTTTTCGTCCCCCTGCCTGCCTGCCCCATGCGTCCCTCCCCACCAAACCACCCCCCTCCCCTCCCTCTGGGCAGTGAGCTGCGGGTGGCGTGTGGGTCGGCAGAGGAGGCACTCATTCTGCGCAACACACTGGCAGTCGACGCCGAGGTGAGGTGTGACGAGAGGTGAGCCCTTCCCACCCACGCCCACCTTCCCTAGGTTACGTCTTCCCATCACCACTGCTCTCTCACTGCACCACTGCTCCCTCACTGCACCACTGCTCCCTCACTGCACCACTGCTCTCTCACTGCACCATTCTTACGCCGTCCTTGTACCATCCCTCCGTGTCCCCCTCATCACAACTGGCAGCTGCAACCAGACAAGCTCGTGCGGGTGATCACAGCCCACGACACCCACCTCTCCGTGTACGCCCCATCCCTTTCTTCCACTTCTTGATTTGTGATTCCATAATTTTAATAATAGTCAATCGACTCGTAACGTTGTTATGAAAAAAGGTAGTGCAGTAATTTCATGAATGCTACGCATGCCATGCATGCCAGGCTTGCAACACGTGACATACATCCCACATGGTTGCATTCTCACTTGATGTCTCACCGCTCTTCACCCTACATCCTCTGCCCGAACTCTACCGACCTGCCCTTCTCCCCACCTGCCCTTCTCCCCACCTGCCCTTCTCCCCACCTGCCCTTCTCCCCACCTGCCCTTCTCCCCACCTGCCCTTCTCCCCACCTGCCCTTCTCCCCACCTGCCCTTCTCCCCACCTGCCCTTCTCCCCACCTGCCCTTCTCCCCACCTGCCCTTCTCACCACCTGCCCTTCTCCTCACCTGCCCTTCTTCCCATATCCCCCTCCCTCGATCCTGCCTCGCTCCCCGCTGCCAACCCCACTCCCTACAGCTCCTTCTCGTGCCCCGACGCTCGTCTACTGCGGGCAGCCTTCAATGCCTTCATGGACTCATTCATCCCCACATGCCCTTCTACCCCCATTCTCCCATGCCACGATGTCCTGCCATCCCATCGCCCCCTCCCCTCCCCCCCCCTTCCTTCTGCAGCTCCTTCTCATGCCCCGATGCCCGTCTGCTCCGTGCGGCCTTCAACGCCTTCATGGACTCGCTCATCCTCGCTGCTCGCACCATCGAAGCCTTTGGCCCGCCGCCTCCCATGCAACAACCATGCCTGCAATGAACCCCGTGTATGGCCCATCCTATCCCATCCCATCCCATCCCATCCCATCCCATCCCATCCCATCCCATCCCATCCCATCCCATCCCATCCCATCCCATCCCATCCCTTCCCAACCCATCCCATTCCAACCCATCCCATCCCATCCCATCCCATCCCATCCCTTCCCTTCCCAACCCATCCCATTCCAACCCATCCCATTCCATCCCATCCCATCCCATCCCTTCCCAACCCATCCCATTCCAACCCATCCCGTCCCATCCCGTCCCTCAGCTGTTTCCATCTCACTTGCCATCCCACTTGCCATCCCACTTGCAAGTTACTGCCTACTTGCCATCTCAGTTGCTTCCTCACTGGTCACCGACAGCGCAGCTGGTTACCATTACCACAGTCGTAGAAATTGAGCACGCTCCCTTTCCAAGCCCAATCATTTAACCCGCTTTTCTCCTCCTCTACGTCCTTTCACTCACCCTCTCGCCTTTTCTCCCTTATCCCAACTCCGCTCCCGATTCTCACTCCTTTCTTGTTTCACCTCCCCATTTGGGATTTCTTCACTCCACAAACACTCTCTTTCCTTGCTTCCCTCTATACGATGCTCCGAGTCACATCTTTTCACCCAGTGTCTTGCTTCTGCTAGATGACCCTGAACGCATGCACCGATGCATCATCCACTGATGCATCATGCACCCATATACTCATGTACCCACCTACCCATGCACCCGCATACCCATGTACCCATGCACCCATTTAACCATGCACCCACATACCCATGCACTGATGTAACCACGCACCCATGCACCCACGCACCCATGCACTAATACACCCATGCACCCATGCACCCACATACCCATGTGCACATGTAGCCATGCATCCATGCAGACATGCACCCCTGCACCCATGTACCCATGCACACATGTACCGACCAATGCGCCCATGTACCCACACGCTCATGCACACATGTAACCATGCGACCCCATGCAGGCATGCGGTGGAGGTTCCAAGTGTCATCATGTTTAATACATGTATCCTCAGAAGCAGCTTGGGGTTGTTTCATTAGCACGCGACGTATGTGCAAAACATGTCCCCCTGACATGCCCCGGTTCAATCTTTGCTGGATTCTGGCCCAGCTGAGGTTCTCAATCGACCCTTGCATCAGAATAATTTCTTTGAACAAGAAACAGCGCTTAAAATCCTTCCATGCAAGCATACGGTATCGTGAGTTCCTTCCACACAAAAAACCTGCAGATTACAAGTAATGATCCTCTGTTTTAGTGCTATGGTGCAATCTTCCTAGCAAGCGGCATTGTTTCCATGAAGATGAAATTAACAAATTGTGCAATGCAATGAGAGATTACAAGTATTACTCATAGAGCAAAGCTACAGTTATAAACATATCCTAGTAATATACAGTGTACATAGTTCCTACTCAGCGTCACATGATCCCAACAGCAGCTGGGAGTTGTTCTATTGTCAACATTGTACCAGCACACCCTTCAGTGTTATACCCATGGACGTTCTCATTTTGAGAGCAGCCATTGCCATGAAGGCTCTTTCAGGAGCTCCTTCTGTGCTCCCTGCTGCTGCTGCAGCCTGGCTTCGCCTGCCTCTCATGCACCAAACCCTCTCTCCTCCCCGCCTGCTGCTTCACCCCCTCCCTGCCACACACGCCACTTGCCACTGCTCTGCCACCTGCTGCCTTCACACCACCCTGCCTTCCACCTGTTGCCCTCCCTGCTGCTCCCTCCCCACACCCACCCTCCTCTCTCCTCTTCACCCCACTTGCGTGGCTGCTGCTGGCCTTGCCAGCTGTTCTCACTGATGATGCAGCACCACGTGATCCCGCAACTGCTGCTGCTGCTGCACATGGGCCAGAGACTGCAGCATTGCTGCTGCCCTTGCCACCCTTCACACCAGTGCTCACCGCCTTGCCACTGCACCCATTCTTTCCCTTCACGGTTTCACCCCCCACCTTGCACCTTGCTGCAACAGCAGGTCTTGACTCCTGTGGTGCTGGTGAAGCTCCTCTCACTGGTGATGTCGCAGCAGGTAATTTCACAGTTGTTGCAGCTGCGGGCGATGGAGCAGCTGGTGCTGCGGACTCTGCTACAGTCGCTGCTGCTGCAGATGCAGGGCAGACGGTTTTGCCAGTCACGATCCAGGCAGGAAGGGAAGCTTCAATGGCGGCTTCAATGTCCCTGGCCCACGTCGCCTGGTCCAGCTTGGCCCATCTCAGGTAAGCAGCATGTGCTCTCAACGTTTTGGCCCATTCACAATCCATAGCTCGAACCTCCTGACGCAGCTTGTCCCACCTCGCTTTCTCACTCAGATAAGCAACACGGGCACTCGCCTCCTTGGCCATCGCTGTTGTGGTCACGCTCACTTGAGCCACAGGAGCCACAGGTGATGCCTCAGGCACCACCACAGGCGCAACCACAGCAGAGGGTGTGACTGTAGCAGCAGCAGATGGTGAGACGGTTTTGCCAGTCACGATCCAGGCAGGAAGGGAAGCTTCAATGGCGGCTTCAATGTCCCTGGCCCACGTCACCTGGTCCAGCTTGGCCCATCTCAGGTAAGCAGCACGTGCTCTCAACTTTTTGGCCCATTCACAATCCATAGCTCGAACCTCCTGACGCAGCTTGTCCCACCTCGCTTTCTCACTCGGATCAGCAGCACGTGCACTCGCCTCCTCGGGCATCACTGCTGTGGTCACACTCGCTTCAGGCACCTGTGGTGTGGTTGAAGCCACTGGAGCCACAGGAGCTACCTCAGGCACCACCACAGTCGCAAGCACAGCAGACGGTGTGACTGCAGCAGCAGCAGCAGTGACGACCACAGGTGCAAGCACGGCGGCAGCAGGCTTGCCTCCGAAGCGGCCGATTCCAGGCCGCTTCACATCAGGTGCGTCAGGTACATGCACCCTGGAGGGCTTGTGCTGCCCGTCAGGGAGGTGCTTCGCCAGATTCTCCAGCAGCGGCCTCACGCTCTTCAGAAGCACGCTGCTGCAGCACGTCTCACCGTCGCCGTTGCAAGCAGCAGGCTTGGCAGGAGAGTATCTTACAGGCGAGAAAACGGTTCGCGGGGTTCCGAACCTGCCAATGCCTCTGGTAGGCGTTGCAAGATAGCTTGCGGTTTGAGAAACAGAGTTAACAGTGCAGACATTGGCGAGAGAAGCCATGTTACTTGACTGCTGATTGCTGAGCAGAAACTGATCGTTGGACAGAGGCTGATTTCTGAAAGCTTTATTCACTGCAGATCGACAGAACGGAAGAGTAAGTGGGAATGGTAAGTTTCAACCTTGGCAACCCATTTCTACTGCACTCCGCCCTCGCCTGCTCAACCCCCCCCTCTCCACCCCCACATACCTCGTCTGCCTGAACATTGGAGTTCCAGCATCGGCGTGCCTCGCTGTCTACTCATGAGCATGACATGTCATACTAATCTGACGGTGGGGAACATGGCCGCGAGGCGTGTGGACGGATTTCAAGGCGTCTTTCGCTGGGGTTCAGGTTCGGGATCTTGATGGCGCCGCGTCAGGCGTAAACAACGGATTGGGAGGTTCGGGGACATCTATTGGTGTCGGTGCGTTTCAGGTTCGTGAGTCCTCGAGGCGCCCCAACAACTTCCCGCTCATTTTCGTCCTCGATTTTTCCCTAGCCGTTTCTGGGACAATTTGTTACGATAAATATAGTGGAAACACGTTTCGCTAAAGAATTTGCGACGCAATCGCAAAACGCTACGCGACGGTCCTAAAGGGATGTCGCAAATCATGGTGGCTGAGGGATTGGGTTGCTGAGGTGGTGAATCTGAATGAGTAGGCCTTGGGATTTACGCCTGTGTGTTGGCGAAGAGTCAAGGGGGAAGGGATGATATGTGCTGTCCGCCCTATAAGCTGTCTGAGCTCGCTAAGTTCATTGGGTGGAAATTCAATCTGTATGAAAACGTTCAATTTAGGTGCTTAGCTGGACATTAATTCCTACATTCGAGGTGTTCAAAAAATGTCCTGCGGTACAAAGCGGTTCCAGAACTAGAAGTCGCGGTGCTGCGTGTTTTGACGAACGACAGATAGCAAAAAAACCTTTTTGGTAGCCAATGCGAAATCCCACACAACTCCAAACTTGCTTGATTATGATTTGCACAAACTATTAGGAGCGCACAAGCGATTACGAGCCAGCACAAGCAATTACGGGCGCGCGCTCAAGCGATAACGAGCGCACTGGCGATTACGCTTCTTAGTCTGATCACGAATCATAATCGAAATTAATCGCACAAGTGATCACTGTTCCAGGGATTCACGTATTAATTGTGGTTTTCAAGCTGCAGTCCCGCCGTTTGATGCTGGCGGAAAATGCGAACTCTCTGACCAGCTTCGCCGATTCCCGCTGGACGAGCGGGCAAGGCGGAATGAGCGGAAGGAGCGGAATGGGCGATAGATGAAGAGCAGAAGGCGAGGATGAAGGCGCAAAGGGAGGAACGAAGTTCTCACTGGCCCTTTCCTCCCCGTCGCGCGCGGAGGGGATGGAAGGGGCGGGAGAGACGAGAGGAGAGGGAGGGGATGTCCAGCGGAGTGCAGCGGAGCGAAGTGCAGCGGAGCGAAGTGCAGCGGAGCGAAGTGCAGCGGAGCGAAGTGCAGCGGAGCGAAGTGCAGCGGAGGGAAGTGCAGCGGAGGGAAGTGCAGCGGAGGGAAGTGCAGCGGAGTGAAATGCAGCGGAGGGAAGTGCGAGAGGATATATGATGCGCAATGGAGTGAAGTCCAGGGGAGACACGTGCAGCGGAGGGAGGGGAGAGGGAGGGGATGTCCAGCGGGGAGCGTCGTGCAGCGGAGAGAAGTATGCTGCGGAGTGGTGGGGGGAGAGAAGTATGCTGTGCAGTGGTGGGGGGAGAGAAGTATGCTGCGGGGTGGTGGGGGGAGAGATTTGAACCGCTGATGGTAAGCAGTTTTATGAGGCTTGACCTGTTGTGAGGCTTGTCAATGTCAACGCAACAGGAACCGCTGATTTTTGAGTTGTTGCGATTTGCATACGTGTTTTCGGGCCTGCTGACATCATGCCGACGTCATCTGCTCCATTTGACATACATGACGAGTCGCGGTATGCTGTCAGTCAGGGTCCACTCCTGCAAACTCGCATGCTCCTGCATGCTCACATGCTCAGGCATGCGATCCTAACACGTGCGGTGCGCGTGTGTGCGTGCATGTCACTCATATGCCCTCCACACAGCACCCTCGCTCACCCTCTCCTCTGCTCCCAGTGCCCTTCTCCCTTGCCCTTCGCCCTGCCCCTCCTCTCCGTTTCATCATCTCCCCCATCCCCTCCCATTCTCACCCATCCCCTCCCATTTTCCCCGACCCCCCCCCAATTCTCCTCCATCCCCTCCTATTCTCCTCACTTCGTCGTCATTTGTCCTTCCCTTCCTCTCTGTATCACTTCGCCCTCATCTTTCCCTCCACACTCCCCCACATTCAGAAGTGCTGCACCCGCAATGACAACATGGGAGGAAGAGACCATCTATGACTTGACATGCTTCCCTGCCATGTCAGCAGCTGGAATCCATGTCAGCTGATGGAATGCCATGTCAAAACCAGGAATGCCACGTCAGCAGCTGGTATGCCATGTGAGCAACCATGTCTGTACATGACGTAAATTTATGCACTGAATCATGCCATGTGTGTGTGCACTGAATAATGCCATGTGTGTGTGTGCACTGAATAATGCCATGTGTGTGTGTGCACTGAATTAAGCCATGTGTGTGTGTGTATTGAATTATGCCATGTGTGTGTGTGCACTGAGTTGTGCCATGTGTGTGTGTGCACTGAATTATGCCATGTGTGTGTGTGCACTGAATTATGCCATGTGTGTGTGTGCACTGAATTATGCCATGTGTGTGTGTGCACTGAATTATGCTATGTGTGTGTGTGCACTGAATTATGCCATGTGTGTGTGTGTGTGTGCACTGAATTATGCCATGTGTGTGTGTGCACTGAATTATGCCATGTGTATGTGTGTGTGTACTGAATCATGTCATGTCTGTGTGTACCCATCATCAATTACAGCTCCCATCACCCCTAGCTGCTCCCATGATCTCTTGACTTTCCCATCCTCCGTTGCTGCTTCCATCATCCCTTGCTGTCCTGTATTGCCATTTCTGTCAAAGTAAGCAGTTTTTCTTTGATTTACCATTCAATCTGTTGTTGTATTAATGGTTTATTTCTGCTCGGTTGCTTTTATGTGTGTGCCTCAGACTCCATCCCAACCGATCCCATCCCATCCCATCCCGTTCAAACCAGTCCCATCCCATCCCATGCCATCCCATTCCATCCCATCCCATCCCATCCCATCCCGTCCCGTCCCTTCCCGTCCCGTCCCGTCCCGTCCCGTCCCGTCCCGTCCCGTCCCGTCCCGTCCCGTCCCGTCCCGTCCCGTCCCGTCCCGTCGCGTCCCGTCGCGTCCCGTCGCGTCCCGTCGCGTCCCGTCCCGTCCCGTCCCATCCCGTCCCATCCCATTCCATCCCAATCCAACCCATCCCATTCCATCCCAATCCAACCCATCTCAACCCATCCCAACCCAGCCCAGCCGAGCCCAGCCCAGCTTATTCAAACCAGTCCCATCCCATCCCATCCCATCCCTCCATCCCAATCAAATCATTCCCATCTCATCCCATCACATTCAAACCAGTCCCATCCCATCCCATCACATCCTATTTCATCCAAATCACAAAGCCCATGTGCCCATGTATCCATGTAGTACCCACATCACCAAGCCCATCCTGTGCAGCCATGTGGGTGGAGGTGCCATGTGGCATCTACTGATGCTGCTTGTTGCACCAGCTGAGGAACCTTTTCTGCTAGAGAAACGATGTGCTTATTGATTCATCAGTTTGCTAAAATATGGTAGAGTGAACTGTCCCAAGATAAAAACCTTATAATCACAATTATTGAAGCCAGTTGGATCACTACAAGCCATCAACTTAATAACCAGCTGTAGCCAGAGAGGGCATTGTGACAATACTCTGAGATGTGTATCAGCCAGTCATTTCATGTTCATCAAATTCTCCTTCCATCCAAATCAAACAACAAATTGTGGAATACAAGTTATATTGATTACAACTAAAGATTATGCCCTAGCAGAAAATAAAGCAACATACCTATTCTAGTAATATACAGTGTACACATCACTGCCTACAAGTCATTACGTACTCCCAACAGCAGTTGGTGTCACTGTTGTTCCACCACACCATTCAGTGCAGTCACATGTCTATGTACAGTAGATGCTCTTCATGAATCCCCTTCAGGGCAGTGAGGAAGAGGCCCTTCCCAGCAGCAGGTGGGAATGCAGGCATTGCACTGACGGCTCTTTCAAGAGCTCCTTCTGTGCGCCCTGCTGCTGCTGCAGCCTGGCCTCGCCTGCCTCTCATGCACCAAACCCTCTCTCCTCCCCACCTGCTGCTTCACCCCCTCCCTGCCACACACGCCACTTGCCAATGCTCTGCCACCCACTGTCTTCACACCGCCCTGCCTTCCACCTGCTGCCCTCCCTGCTGCTCCCTCCACTCTCCTCTTCACCCCACTTGCGTGTCTGCTGCTGGCCGTGCCAGCTGCTCTCACTGATAATGCAGCACCACGTGGTCCCGCAACTGCTGCTGCTGCTGCACCACATGGGGCAGGCCTTGGCTTCTGTGCTGCTGCACATGGAGCAGAGCCTGAATGCGTGCTGCTGACCTTGCCACCCTTCACACCCGTGCTCACCGCCTTGCTGCTGCACCCATTCTTGCCCTTCACGGTTTCACCCCGCACATTGCACCTTGCTGCAACAGCAGGACTCGACTCCTGTGCTGCTGCTGCAGCTCCTCTCACTGGTGATGCCGCAACAGGTGATTCCACTGTTGTTGCTGGTGCTGCGGACTCTGCTACAGTCGCTGCTGCTGCAGATACAGGAGGAAAAGTTTTACCAGACACGATCCAGGCAGGCAGGCAAGCTTCAATGGCGGCTTCAATATCCCTCGACCACGTCGCCTGGTCCAGCTTGGTCCATCTCAGGTAAGCAGCACGTGCTCTCAACGTTTTGGCCCATTCACAATCCATAGCTCGAACCTCCTGACGCAGCTTGTCCCACCTCGCTTTCTCACTCGGATCAGCAACACATCGCAGCTGTGGGCATCGCAGCTGTGGTGATGGTCGCTTCAGCCACCTCTGGTGTGGTTAAAGCCACTGGAGCCACCACAGTCACCACCACAGGCGCAACCACAGCAGACGGTGTGACTGGAGCAGCAGTGACGACCACAGGTGCAGGTGCAAGCACGGCAGCAGCAGGCTTGCCTCCGAAGCGGCCGATTCCAGGCCGTTTCACAAGAGGTGCGTCCGCCACGTGCGACTTGGTGGGCTTGTGCTGGCCGTCAGCAAGGCCTTGGGAGGACGACGCATGCAGGTGCTTCGCCAGATTCTCCAGCAGCGGCCTCACGCTCTTCAGAAGCACGCTGCTGCAGTACGTCTCACCGTCGCCGTTGCTAGCAGCAGGCTTGGCAGGAGAGTAGCTTACAGGCGAGAAAACGGTTCGCGGGTTTCCGAACCTGCCGATGCCTCTGGTAGGCGTTGCAGGATTGCTCGCCGAGTGGGAAACAGAGTCAACAGTGCAGATATCAGCAAGAGAGGCCATGTTACTTGACTGCAGATCGCTGCACAGAAACTGATCGTTGGACACAGGCTAATTTCTGGAAAGTTTATTCACTGCTGATCGATAGAGCGGCAGAGGAAGTGGGAATGAAAGGTTCCAACATTGGCGACCCCATTTCAACTTTCACTCCGCCCTCGCCCGCTCTAGCCCTCGCCTCCAAGCCTAGATGCCTCGTCTGCGTCATCATTGGAGTTCCAGCCTCGGCCTGCGTCGCTGTCTACTCGCTAACGTGCCACGTCACTCGTATCGAACGGTGGAAAAACAAGGACCTAGGTGTGTGGACGGATTTCAAAGAGAACTTTTCTGGGGTTCAGGTTCGGGAACTTGGTGGCGTCGCGTCAGGCGAAATCTGCGGTTTGGGAGGCTTGGGAACATTCCCTCTGTGTCGGTGAGTTTCAAGTTCGTGGGTCCGTCGAGGCGCGTGACCATTTTCCCGCCACTCTTTCGCACAAGATTCCTAGCCGTTTCTGGACGCTTTTGTTACAACGATTGTAGAAGAGGGATATACACTGTTCGCCGAAGCTTTTCGCAAGGAAATCGTTCATCGCCATAGAATGCGTCCAGGGATCATCGTGGTGGCTGAGGGAACGCAGGGCTGGAGGACTACTTGCCTGCTGGATTTGGATCAGCAGCCATTGGGATTGACGTCTGTGTAGTATGGTGGAGATCCGAATGGAGAAGGATTTGTTTTGTACTCCCCAAAAGAATGTTGTTCGTTTTGTCTGAAACATGTAGCGTAAAATTCATTGAAAAAAATATCCTCAAGCAGGTGATTTTCACAAAAAGGAGCTTGGTAGTGGTACAAAGGTCCCATTAGAAACTTGCCAATTAATTTGGATCGTACCGCAAGTGGGTATTTTCTCTCGTTTCATTCATGGGTATAGAATATCAAACACGCGGAGGTGAACTCATAGAAATAAAAGGGGTCAAAATGAAAGGTCTTTATATAAGATCACATCATTCTGGTCTGCAAGGGCCTGCCCTGCAACCAAAGGGCACTCAAGTGGGACCAAACGCAGACCAGAACGACCCTGCAGTGGCAGCCTGCTGCTGTTGCTGCTGGCGGGTGATATAGTCCACAACATGAGGCACGGACCCCATGACCACCACCCTGCCGCCATCCATGTATGCTGCCCCGTCTGCAAACTGTAGCTCCTCCAGCCGATGCGTCACCCACAGCGCTGTCACCCTCCTCCCCCCCCGCCCCCTCCTGCTGCTGCTGCTGCTGCTGCTGCTGCTGCTGCTGCTGCTGCTGCTGCCAGAGCCGCTGTTTGAGCTGCTGTGCGCAGTGCTGCTGCTGCCCGGGGAGCTGCCCGACACCACATTGCGCACTGCCTTGATGACTGCGAACTGGGATGGAGTGGAGTGCAGGGAGAGGAGAACGAGTGGACAGCAAGAGCGAGGGATAGAAAGTGGAATGCTATTATATGCTGGAATCATTCATTCATGTCACATGCTGGAATCATGGATGTAAAATCACACCAAATCAAGGCAGGCGGGAGGAAGCGGGGCGGGCTCACCTGGTCGGCGGAGTCAAGGAAGGTGGTCAGTACGTCCAACACTGAATATACTCTTCCTTCACGCGGCTTTTTCAGACGTCTCAAAAGCACTCTTCTTTCACGTGGCTGACCTGGTCTTGGGAGTCGAGGAAGGTGGTGAGCTCGTCCAGCAGCAGCGTGTGTGAATCCCCCACCAGTGCTGCTTGTGTGACATTCAGGAATTCTCAACAGTGGCACAAGGAGTGCTGGCAGGGAGGGCTGGGCAAGAATCAGGGCTAGGACTAACCTGGTCTTGGGAGTCAAGGAAGGTGGTGAGCTCGTCCAGCAGCAGTGTGTGTGAATCCTCCGCCAGTGCCCCCGCTATCGCCACCCGCTGCTTCTGGCCCCCACTCAGCGTCGATACCAGGCGCTGCCAGGCAGGCGCGTGCACATGGAGGGGAACAGAGATGAACAAGCAATGGAGGGGGGAAACAGTGCTCATGTTAGCGCCTCGTACCATGTTTGCCTTAGTTCCACACTGTGTCTGCCTTCAACTTCCCATGACCACCATTTCGCCTCCCATAAGATCCATTGGTTTTCCTGACCACTACTTGTAAGCTGGACAGTGCTCCACGCTCCACATTCTCGGCCTGCTCAACACCGCTCTCCATACCTTTCAACCACCACTTCACAGCAGGTGGTTCGGGCGGCACTCACTTGCGTTGCGTGTACTGCACAGCACAGATGCGCAGGCAGGCGGGCATAACTCACCTGCCCGTACTCCACTCACCTGCCCGTACTCCACTCACCTGCCCGTACTCCTCTCACCTGCCCGTACTCCTCTCACCTGCCCAAGCTGCGCAAGAGGGTAGACAGAAGAACTCACCTGCCCGTACTCCGCCATGCCAACAGCCTCCAGCGCCTCTGCCACGCGCCGCTGCACCTCCTCCTCTGGCAATGGCGGGTTCAGCCGCCCTAGCCCAAACGCCACGTCAGCATTCACTGTTGGCATGATGACCTGGCGGCAAGGGCCGAGTGGGAGGACAAGTGGTGGGGAAAGAGAGGTGGGTGAGAGTTTTGAGTCGACAGAGGCAGGGGAGTGGAAAGAGGATGGGAGGTGGAGAGCAGAATTTGAAAGAAGGAGAAGACGAGTGCAAGTCTGATATTACAAGGAGAAGCGGCGGTACGAGAACATGGCAACAGTGAATCATGAATCACCTGCAGAAACACCTGGCACCCACTTGATAACCACGATTTGCCTGGCCCTCAGAACGTGTTCACCTGAACTGAACTCACCTGGTAATCGTCTGGCACCCACCTGGCATGGCACCCACCTGGCATGGCACCCACCTGGCACCCACCTGAGTCCACCTGAGCCCACCTGGCACGCACCTGGTGATCGGGGTTCTGGAAGACCCACGCACCCACTCACCTGAACTCACCCACCTGGCACCCACCTGGCACCCACCTGGCACGCACCTGGCACGCACCTGGCACGCACCTGGTGGTCGGGGTTTTGGAAGACGAAGGAGCGAGGTGCATCCACTCGCAGCCGCCCACTGTTGGGCTGCAGCAGCCCCGCTAGTACCTGCTGGGCGCACAGTACGGTGCAGAGGGGTGAAGCATCGTACAGAAGGGTGAGGGCATGGTGCAGGAAGGTGGAGCAATCGTTGTTTGAAGATGGGGCTGCATGTGGGTGAAGCAGCAGGCGGGGGGCCAAAGAGAGAGGAGGAGAGAGTTATAATAAACAGGGAGAGAGGAAGGGAGGACAAAGGGAGGACCAGGCACGGGAGATTGGAAAGGGTGGAGGAGGAGTACGGGGGGGGGGAGGTTGGTATTGCCCTCATCAACATTGCCTCACTCATACCTTGACCATCATTGACTTTCTCTCCCACCTGCGTTGACTTTCTCTCCCACCTTGACCAGCGTTGACTCTCTCTCCCATCTTGACCAGCGCTGACTCTCTCTGACCAGCGTTGCCTCTCTCTCTCCCAACTTGACCAGCGTTGACTCTTTCGCCCACCTTGAGCAGCGTTGACTTGCCACATCCGTTGGGCCCCAGCAGCATCCACAGCTGCCCCTCGGGCACGCGCAGGCTGCACTCGCGCAGCACCTGCATTGGCGCGCAACGAGATTGAAGGATTCTTTCAGAGAAAGTGGGACTTGGTTAGTCTCATCCAGTAAAAGACTTGATCAGTCGCATTCAGTACAAGGACCAGCAGCATCCACAGCTGCCCTGAGCACGCGCAGGCTGCGCTTGCAAAGGCAGCACCTGCGCGCGCCCCAGGCTCAGGCTCAGCCCCTCAACGTCGATCGCCGCGCGCCTCCCCGCGCGCCCCCCGCCCTCGCTCTCGTCGCCGCTGGTCGCTGCCGCGCTGCCCGCGGTCGCCAAGACAGTCGCCGTGCGACATCGGCGAGCGGATGCGTTTCGATTGGCGACGCGTGCGACGGATGTGGGGGAGAAGGCGGAGGTGGACGGGGGGAGCGCGCAGGCAAGAGTGTCCTCGTGGCGGAGGAGAGCGGCGGCGGGGGTGAAGGACAAGACGGGAGCGCAACGCGCGCCGATAGGGTGCGCGGAGGCGAGGTGTGCGGCGGCGACGAACGGACGGTCCATATCGCGATCGTGCACACAGAATGCGATTCCTGCGCTGGGCGGTTTTCTATGACGGACGCATTGTGAAGTGCTCGTGTAAGATTTAGAATTAGTACCATAGAAATGACACTTCGAATAAGCGATGCAAACAAGCGAAGTAAATGAATGTAAAACAATTTAGCTGCGAACATTGTGCAGATAATACACGAGATGTGTTGCAAGCGAACAACGCAACACCGAACCTTTCACCAGAACCAGAGTTCATTCTTTCAATACGCAACGCGCCTCGCACTCCGAGCAGTAGATTAGATTGTGGTACCAAGATCAGACGACAGGAATCTGTACACATGATGCCCAACCAGTGCACGCGAATTCGCCCTGCACCGGATGGAAACGCTGCACCCGAGGTAATTTCCCCAGCCTGTTGCACCCACGATACAAGCGCGTCGCGTGGTTATGGACCAATAGTAACGAACAGACCGAAATCAAACTGAAGAGACCGAAGTCAAAATGTCAACGGATAAGGTTACAGATCCTTAATATAAGCACCTGCGAATCCTTTTTAGCTAGCTGCGAATTGACGAAACTTATGCGAAATGCTCGATACAGCTTATACGCCCCCTTCACAAGGCAACCGGGAGGGGCTCAAACAGGCATCAATTGTACCTAGCTTCGAGCGCCTTAGCAGCCACAAGTCGTGCCGATAGTTTAGGGACTTGGGCCAGGGACCAGAAAAGAAGCCATTCTTTTCGAAGGGTGTTTTTAGGAAACCTCGCTGGTTCAGACAAACCACGACAGTTGAACTCGCTTCTTCTGTGCTGCTTCTTCAATTAGGGTTTGTTTCGTTCCTCCTTTCCTCCCTCCCCGCTTTCTTCGCCGCGCGCTCGCTTCCCGCCATGTCGGTGGCGGCAGGCGTCAGCGATGCGGCGATCGCGATCCGAGAGAAGCTTCGCGGAAGGATCGCGCAGACGAAGGTGAAGCGGTACTGGCCGGGAAAGGCGCCGGAATGGGCTGACGAAGCGGAGGAGGCGCGCGGGGGCGTGTTCGGCGAGCCGGAGGACGAGCGGGAAGAAATCGGCGACCGACTGACGCGCGTTAGGGTTTCCGAGAACGACGCGCGGTTGCGCCGATTAGGAGAAAGCCGGCGCGACAGGGAGGAGGCCGTGGCGCGGCATCGGGAGATCCGGGCGGCGGAGATTGTCTCGACTCGGGAGGAGGAGGAGAGGAAGCAGCAGGAGCGCGAGGAGGAGGAGGAGGAAGAGGAGGATGAGGACGCTATCGAGGAGCGACGGCGGAGGATACGCGAGAGGCTATTACAACGGCAGAGGGAGGAAGAGGAGCTAGCAGCGTTAGGGGAGGGCGAGGAGGAGGAGGAAGAGGAGGAAGAAGAGGAGGAATCTTCCGAGTATGAGACGGATTCGGAGGAGGAAGGGGGCGGTATGGCAATGATTAAGCCTGTGTTCGTTCCCAAGGGCGAGCGCGACACGGTGGCGGAGCGCGAGCGCGTGGAGCAGGAGGAGCGCGATTTAGAGGAGGCGGTGCGGCGGCGCGTGGAGGAGCGCAAGGCGGAGACGCGGCGCCTCGTGGTGGACGACGTGCGGCGCGAGGAGGAGAAGGAGCAGCGGCGCGTGGAGGACGGCGGCGGCGCGGAGGGTGACGGCGCGGGGGCGGCGGCGGAGGACGTGGAAACGGACGACGAGATGGACGCGGAGGAGGAGTTCGAGCGGTGGCGCGCGCGCGAGAAGGCGCGCGTGCGGCGCGAGCGCGAGGAGCGCGACGCAGTCACGCGGGAGAAGGAGGAGCGCGAGCGGATATCGCGCATGACCGAGGACGAGCGGCGCGAGTGGGAGCGCCGCAACCCCAAAGCTGCGCCCGCGGGCAGCACGAAAAAGAAGTGGAATTTCATGCAGAAGTACTACCACAAGGGCGCGTTCTTCCAGGCGGGCGCGGACGACAAGGGCGGCACGGCGGGCACGGACGAGATCTTCACACGGGATTACTCGGAGGCCACTGGGGAGGACCGGCTGGATAAGAGCGTGCTGCCCGCTGCCATGCAGGTGAGGGCCAGCAAGGGAGCAAGTGAGGGCCATGCATGCACGTGGGCGTGCTGCTGCCTGGTGTTGGTTGGTACTCGGAGGCCACTGGGGAGGAGAGGACCGGCTGGATAAGAGCGTGCTGCCCGCCGCCATGCAGGTGAGTGGGGGGCGGCAGGGGAGCATGCGATGCATGCAGGTGAGGGGCGTTAGTCGGTGCAGCATGCGTGGCATGGCGATGGGCGTTAGTGTTGGGGGGCGACTGGGGAGGACCGGCTGGATAAGAGCGTGCTGCCCGCCGCCATGCAGGTGAGGGGCGTTAGCCAGGTGGAGGGGTGGTTGGGGGGGAGGTGTGATGGTGGGGAATGGTGGGGAACGGTGGGGAATGATGGTGAGTGGTGGGGAGGTGCCACTGTCACTTCATTTCCTTCCCCCACCACCTTAACTCTCTCGTCTCCTTGCCTCGTGTCCCCATGTGCCCGTGTGCCTTGCTTGCTGTGCTGTGTTGTGTGGTGCTGTGCGGTGAGGGCAGGTGAAGCACTTTGGGCGCAGTGGGCGCAGCAAGTGGACGCATCTGGTGAACGAGGACACCACCCAGCAGGACTCCCCGTCAGTACCTCCGCACCCTTGCCTCCACTCCCCGTCACCACTGCCCCCGTCCCCTGCCCCCGTGCCCTGCCCCCGTCCCCTGCCCCCGTGCCCTGCCCCCGTCCCCTGCCCCCGTCCCCTGCCCCCATCCCCTGCCCCCACTCCGTCACCACCCACTCTACGTCATTGCTTGTTTCCGCTTGGTTCCATGCATGCTCGTCTTTCAGCTTCATGCCAGTGGGCACACCACCCCACCATCCGCGCTCTCCTGTCGCTCACCCCCGCACTACTCGCTCTCCCCTCTCCCCCATCTCTCCCCCCTCACCAGGTGGGCATACAACGATGCACTGAGGGCGCGCTACAACAACAAGATGGCGGGGAGGATGGACAAGCCCTCCCCTCCATCTTTACCCCACACTACCCCCTCTCTCCCCCCTCTCCTCCCGTTCTCCCTTGTCGCTGCCCCCTGCCAGGTGGGCATACAACGATGCGCTACGAGCGAGGTACAACAACAAGATGGCGGGGATGGTCAATCCTTCCCTCCCCTCAACCCCACACCACCCCTCTCCCCCGTCTCTCCACCCTCTCTCCCCCCTCGCAGGTGGGCATACAACGATGCATTGAGGGCGAGGTACAACAACAAGATGGCGGGGATGGACAAGCCACTGGAGAAGCCCAAGGGCAGCAAGAAGCTCAAAAACGCGCTGCAGAACCCGTGAGGTTTCAGAGGCACGCACGCTCCTCTGCTCGTTTCGGTCAGGAGGCGCGCCTCCCATGTGCCCTGCTGTTCTGGAATCCGGATCCAATCAGAATTTATGAGCTGCTGAAGAAGCCCAAGGGCAGCTCAAGGCTGAGATGAGAATCAAAACTGCTCTGCGGGGCACGTGACGTGACATGTGGCTTAGGCGGCGCGGCGGCATCCTCTGCTCGGTCTGGGTTTGGTTGGAATGCTTAGTTCATTGCATGATGTGCTGTGTTTCGTTATCTTCAGCTGCTGCGTGTTTGTTTTGGTATCGCTCTGTGGTTTTGTGCGCTCGAGTTGCGTTGCATGGTCTGCTCTTCCATTGAGCTGTTGCTATCCAATCCACTTATTAAAACCCTAGTCTAGAATGGTAAGGCTTCAAGAATACTGAACTTGAAAGGTATTGGGAAAGCGACGGAATGGGCAAGCGATGGTCATGTGAAGGCCAGCGACATGATGGGAGAGCGTGGGAGACACTCAGAGTAAGCATGGGCGACGGACGTGGGAAGGGAGAGCCACCTAAAAGGCGACGGGAGGGGAGGCGAATTCAAGTTCAAGAATCTTGAACTTGAAAAGTTGTCATCTTAGACTCGGGCTTTAAGCAGCAATCATAGCAAGCTTTCAGCACCACATTCCTTGAGTGGATCGCTCGCATGATGCGAGTCGCATCACTCACAGCCAGGGCCTCGGATTCATTTTGAAGTACCCTGATCCATCAGTGTCCCTGTGAAAATAAAGGCTGATTGACAGAGATTGCTTATCATGAATATCAAGAAGGTAATGTCGCTACATTTGAATATCAATTAATTGCGTTCCTATTACCGGTATGGTACCGTAGAATGTGCTGCCAACGTGGGCGTGCAGTGAAAAGGATGTGTGTGCAGGAAGTGAGCTAGGCTACCGGTAGAGCAGGAGGCGGCGCAAGAGGTGGCGCTAGTCTTCGAACCAGGTGACGACGGCTCGCGTGGCGGAGGCGACGAGGGAGGGGATGAGGACGAAGAAGGTGATGAAGGCCATGGCCGTGGCAGCCTTGGTGCGCGCACAGAAGCTGGAGAATAGCCCCATCTGCATGCACGGGGCCAGTGGGGGGTGGAGCAAGTAGGAGCAGTAAGGCATGTATTGGGGCGCCTCAAAGGCCGTGGCGGCCTTGGTGCGCGCACAGAAGCTGGAGAATAGCCCCATCTGTGCAGGGGATCAAGGGAAGTGGGTGGGGGTGCCAGTGAGGCATGTAGGTTTGGATCAAAGCAATAGCATTAAGGCACGCACCGAAGCTGGAAAAGAGGCCCATCTGTGCTCACAGGGACTGCAGGTAGGTAAGAGGCATGCAGGTACGTAAGAGGCATGCAGGTAGGTAAGAGGCATGCAGGTAGGTAAGAGGCATGCAGGTACGTAAGAGGCATGTAGGTACGTAAGAGGCATGCAGGTAGGTAAGAGGCATGCAGGTACGTAAGAGGCATGCAGGTACGTAAGAGGCATGCAGGTAGGTAAGAGGCATGCAGGTACGTAAGAGGCATGCAGGTACGTAAGAGGCATGCAGGTACGTAAGAGGCATGCAGGTACGTAAGAGGCATGCAGGTACGTAAGAGGCATGCAGGTACGTAAGAGGCATGCAGGTACGTAAGAGGCATGCAGGTAGGTAAGAGGCATGCAGGTAGGTAAGAGGCATGCAGGTACGTAAGAGGCATGCAGGTACGTAAGAGGCATGCAGGTGCATAAGAGGCATGCAGGTAGGTAAGAGGCATGCAGGTACGTAAGAGGCATGCAGGTACGTAAGAGGCATGCAGGTACGTAAGAGGCATGCAGGTACGTAAGAGGCATGCAGGTACGTAAGAGGCATGCAGGTAGGTAAGAGGCATGCAGGTAGGTAAGAGGCATGCAGGTAGGTAAGAGGCATGCAGGTAGGTAAGAGGCATGCAGGTAGGTAAGAGGCATGCAGTAGCAGTGACGCATGCAGGCAGGCAGGGGAGAGCAGTGCACGGCGGATGGGTGTGCACTGCATGGTGCAGTGCAGCTAAAGTGACAAGTGTGTGGAAGAGAGAATACAGAATGGCCCAAGGAGAAAGACGGGAAGGCAAGTAACAGTCACAGGGAGAGTAAACCTGAGATAGCAGCCTTCCCCGCTGATGTGACCTATCCATAACACATTTTGTAGGACATGACGGTAATCATTCCTGTGATATCCACTTGTCTAGCTTTCCAGTCTGCACGAGAACCAATCTTCGGGTGTAGGAAGGAAGCCCACGTGGCAGTACCCCACTCCACCACTCCCCACCCACCTGGCAGTATCCCGGCTGCACCATTCCCGATCCCTTGTCCGCAAAGCTGGTGAGACCCGCTGCAGCAGAGGCACCGGCCAGAGCAATCCATGCCACCAGCTGCTCACAGCATGGGGGGGGGAGTGGGGGGGGGTGCGGTGGAGGGATGGGGCAGCAGTGAGACACAGGCAGTGACTTGCAGCGATGACAAGGTCGAAAGGACAAGGGAGCCCCTTGTTTGAACAGCAAGGTAAAAGAGGCAGTAGAGGCAGCAAGGTAAAAGAAACGACTTGAGGGTGAATCGAGAGTTGAGGCGGTAGAGGCAGGGAGAGACGAATGGTGAGAGGGGAGGAGCAAGGGGGAAGGGATGGGAGAGGCACTGACGAAGTCGAGCAGGGCGAAGAGAGTGATGCGGCACTTGCGGGGCATGAGTGACGGGTGCAGCATAAGTGCATTGCATTGGGGCAAGAGAAATGGGAGGGGCGGTACTGACGAAGTCGAGGAGGACGAAGAGCGTGATGCGCCACTTGCGGGACATGAGGCGACCGATGGAGTGCAGCAGATGGGCGAGGCACCATGCCGCTACTGCTGTCATTGCCGCCACCATGAATATGAACGCCTGAGCGGTGCGGGGAAGTAGGGATGGGAAAGAGGGAAAAATAGGTGCCAGGCACCACACTGCCACTGCTGTCATCACCACCATGAATATGAACGCCTGCGGGGTGGGGGGGAAGTAGGGAAATGAGGAAAGCGGAGTGAGGGGGGTGGAATAAGAGGGGCTTGAGACGTTTTAAAAGTCCACTCGTCGGACACCACGCTGCTGCTGCTGTCATTGCCGCAACCATGAATATGAACGCCTGCGTGGTGGGGGAGGGAGGTAGGGAGGGGGGAGTGAAGTGGCCGGTGGAATAGGAGGGGCTAAAGTCCACACTGCCGCCACCATGAAATTGAACGGCTGAGAGGTGGCGGGACGACAGGTTGAGAGGGGGGGTTGAGGGAAGGGAGGAGTGAGAGGGTGGGGAATGGGAATCTGAGAGCTGTACTGGCACGCACCTGGTGGTACTGGAACTGGAAGTACATGCTGTTGGCGCTGGGGGTAGTCATGTCATGACCGCCAGGGCGAGCACGGCTGTCGCCAGCTGTAGCAGGAACACACCAGAACACTAGCAGCAGCAGCAGCAGCAGCAGCAGCCACACACCATCTGCACTGCAGCACCAACGCACCTGGTAGTACTGGAAGTACATGCCGTTGGCGTTAGAGGCGGTCATGACCGCCAGTGCGATGATAGCCGTCGCCAGCTGTAGCAGCCGCCAGAAGATGGTCTGCCCGCGCGCAAAGATCCGAGTCTCGCCGCCCAGCCCGCCGCCCATCTCCGCCAGCTTCTCCGAGCGAGCTGATGGGATGGGATGGGATGGGATGGGATGGGATGGGATGGGATGGTGAAACAAGGCTACGGCGCAGTCCGCATGGCGCAGCTGGCCTGGCCGGCCATGGCGACTAGAGAGCTGCGCCGTAGCGAGATAAAGAGAAGAGTTGTCACGGCAGCGGAATAAGAGAAGCTAGACCGAGAGAGAGAGAGGCCTAGCTCCAGATTCGTCGACGAGAGAAGATAGGAAGATACTTTCAAGAAGATAGGATTAGAAGTAAGGGATGAAGATGATTACAAGATTCAGAGAAGCTACTTTATGCTAGGAAGGAAGAAGTGCGGCTCGTAAGGAAAACCGTATCGCCACGCTTCTATCATGGCATCTTGGCATAGCGCCTCGATGCCACGCTCTGCTGGATTCTAGTACATTCGAATCAGTGACGAGGATAAGAGATACGCTCCGAGGTTAGCACCTATCTCTATTCGGAGCTATCTAGGCAAGGGAGGTTCCAACCGTTCGGATATTCCCATGCGCGCTGGCATCGGGAATCCCAACCTGTAACAGATGGGATGGGATGGGATGGGATGGGATGGGATGGGATGGGATGGGATGGGATGGGATGGGATGGGATGGGATGGGATGGGATGGGATGGGACGGGACGGGATGGGATGGGACGGGATGGGACGGGATGGGATGGGATGGGATGGGATGGGATGGGATGGGATGGGATGGGATGGGATGGGACGGGACGGGATGGGATGGGACGGGATGGGATGGGACGGGATGGCAGTGTGAGAGTGGTGAGAGGGAGGGCGGAGGACATTTGAGGCGCCTCAAAAGTCCTATGAGCGAGCTGAAGGGATGGGATGCCAGAGGGAGAGAGAGCGCGGCAAGTGGGGGGGCGGAGGGTGGCAGGAGGGAGGGAGTGAAGATCCCCAAGTGTGGGGGGGATGCATGGAGGGAAGGTGGCAGATGGAGCACGGAGGGAGGGAGTGAAGCATAGAGCTGGCGACTTGGGTGCATGGTGGGATGCAAATGAGTGGGTAGTGAAGGGATGATGTGGGGGGATGATTGCATTGAAGGGAGTGACGAGAGGCGAAGGGGTGTGAAGGTGAGACGAGGCAGTACGGTGCTGGAAGGGAGGCAGGGCAGCGGATGAAGGAGTGAGAGGCGAGGGACTCACACAGGCAGACAGACAGATGGCGGAAGAAAGGCAGCTTGGGGATGGGAGTAGTGAGTTTTAGCCTTGGAACGTACTCGTGTGCCCACACACCCACCCACCCACCCACACGTGCTGAGTGCTCACTCCAACCTCAGCCACTGCCTGCCGTACCAGCAGTTGTGCTGCTCTCGCCGTGGTACAGGCGCTGCTCGTGCTACCAGGTTACCAGGTTACCAAGTTACCGCGTTACCAAGTCATTGCCCCCCCCAAGGCTTGACTTCAACTCACTCGCGGGACGACCAGCCGCGGGGCGACCAGTGGCGGCGCGTGGGGGTGAACCTCCTACAGTGCCACGTGGCGGCGAGCCTCCTGACGTGGACAGCGGAATGGGTCCACGTGGCGGCGAGTGTGCTGACGTGGAGAGCGGGATGGATCCACTTGGCTGCTGCCCCCCTTCCTCCAGTATCCCTCGCCGCCCTAGTGACGTGTCATACGCCGCCATGCCCGCTGCTCAATTACTCCTCGATCAGCGCAAAGCTGTTATCGCTGTCACGCGAGAATCGACCGCTCAGCGAAAAGAAACGAAAATGGATGTGGCGAGTAACGAAAGGGTGTTGAAGGAGGCTCAACACGGCGACGGACGGAGGCAAAATGCGGAGGAGAAAGAGCTCGCTCCACACAAGTGCGCGCAGGCAGACGTGAGACGGGTGCGTGACGACGTCTCGTGTGGCACGAAGCGGCGCGCGAAAGCTGCCGGGATACGCGCGACGAGCCCGCGCGCGGAGGGAGCGGAGGGAGCGGAAGGAGCATTGCGCTCTCCCGGTCCCCGGCGATGATTACGCGGGTCGCCGGGGAAAGGGGCGGACAGCATCCTGGCGGGGAACAAGCGGGCGGGAGGTGTGGAGATGTGCGGGGAGGTGCGGGGAGACGGGGGAAGTGGGCGGGCCAAGCTGTAGTGGAGTGGAGAGCGACGGGGATGGCAGGGCGCCAGCTGGACTGGTTACGAGGGGGCGCCGCGTGGTGCGCGGAAAGAGGCAGCGCGGTGTGCTGTGCGGGGTCATCGAGAGGTGCATGCTGCTCGTCTTGCGGTGACTCCCAGGGTTGACGACACGACTCGCTGCAAAAATTGGCGATGACGCGAAAGCGCAGCTTATAGAGAACACTATTGTAGTATATAATGCATATTCACAACTGTACTTCTGAGAAAAATAAAAATACACTACAGGAAAAATGCGATGAGCTTATATATTTACAGCGTTCACAACAAAATGATAGTTTTTTTGTTCATACGAATAGAGCTGCAGCGGCCGGGCACAGCCGCCAGTCTTGATTTAAAATCCGCCTCAACAATAGACAGCCACATGTTATTCTTCAGGCGACTAGCAGCTGCAGCGCGCGGTCACGGTCGTTGCCACAGAGCGCCAGACAGCCCGCCACGGCGACCGGGTCAAAGCCCATCTCTCTTAACAACGTGTATGCATTGCAGAAATCCACCACCTGGGAGCACATTGGGGACGGGCATGAGGAGGTAGAGTGGTGAGTATGATTGTCGGTGATGGTGAGGAGAGGATGGTTGGTGATGAGAGAGGGGGCGAAGGGGAAACAGGGGAGCACATAGGGAACATGGGTGACTGGGCCAAAGCCCATCTCACGCAGCAACGTGTATGCATGATAAAAATCCACCACCTGGAAAGGGATGGGGACACGGGGGGGAAAAGGGGACACGGGGGGGGAAAAGGTGGGGGGGAGGAAATGGGGACACAGGAAGGAAAAAGGGGGGGGAGGAAGAAGGGGAATGGGGGGGAAACGGGGAAGGAAATGCCGACCGCATTCTCACTCGCATTGCATTAATGACAGAAAAATATAAGAATAACACCAAGATTAGGCCGCTATCCAAAAGCATGCACTCCTGCGGAGAAGGAAAGGCGGGACTGCAAGAGAAAGGGCAAGAACCATGTTCCAAACGGTATATCTTGGTACCTGTGAGTGCGAGTCGCCATGGATAGCCAGTGCCATAATGACTGCCTCCCTGTTCATGCCCCTCTGTGTGTACTTGCTGGCCTTTTAAGAATTCTCAAAATGAGTCGCTTTTGAGAAATTTCAAAAGGCATCTCTTTGCCCCCACCCTGCGGTACCTGTGAGTGCGAGTCGCCATGGATGGCGAGAGCCATGATGACTGCCTCTCTGTTCATACCCATCTGCGTGTACTTGCTGGCACGTGGGTCCACCTGTGATGGGATGCGAGGAGGCACGGGCAGGGCGCAGGGTCGGTACAGGCTAGTGTTAGGTGACAGTGACTCTCAATCGTGACTGCCTCTCTGTTCATGCCCATCTGAATATACTTGCTGGCGCGTGGGTCCACCAGGAGAGATGAGAGGCAAGGGCAGATGAAGAGGTGCAGGGGCAGGGAAGGCAAAGTGGCGTGGTGCTCGTGAGACAGACCGCATGGAAAGGGGAGGGAAGGGAGGTGGATGGGAGTAGGGGGTAAAAGGGAGTGGAGTGAGAGGAGGGGAGATGGAAGGAACTAGGAATGAGGGGAGAAGAGGTGGATGGAAGGGGTTGTGTGGGCACCGGAGGTAAGTGAAGGGGAGGTGGGAGCGATGATTTTGTGGCCGATAGTGCCATCCACGATAATCATCCATTGAGGAGAAAAGGGGAGGTGGTGGGCGAGAGAGGAAGGCGGAGAGGGGACACATGAAAACAGGCAGAATGAGCCTCATTGAGGAGAAAAGGGGAGAAAAGGGGAGGAAGCGACTAGGCGACTGGTTGCCTGTGCGCATGCCCTCTCTCAATACCCCCACCTTTCACTTCACCACCCGTGCTAACTATCAAGTAACTAGCTGTTCTCGCCCTACGTCCCCACCTCTCCATTCACGGCCACACTCGTGCGCTGGTGCAGCACATGCCCTCTTCCCATGCCCCTACTCCTCGTGTCACTGCAGTTCCTCATCTCTCGGCGCTCTCGCTTCCTTGCCACACTGGTGCGCTCGTGGAGCGCCGAGGCCCCTGAGAACAGCTACCTCTGTGTATTGAGTTAGCTCCACCACACACTGCTAACCACTATGCAACTTGTTGCCCTTGCCCTCGCCCCACGGCCCTACCTCCGCTTCACGGCCACGCTGATGCGCTGGTGCAGCACATGCCCTCTCCCATAACCCCACCTCGCATCACCGCCTGTGCTAACTAACTGCTACGTAAGTGGCTATTCTAGCCACACATCCCCCCACCTCGCGCTTCACGGCCACGCTGGTGCGCTGGTGCAGCGCCGAGGCCTCGGACAGCAGCTGTTTCTCCACGTCAAAGTCGAACGCTGCTGCGCTCACTGTCACCGCCTGCACTGGCGCTAATGGGGGGGGCTGCAGGGAGAAAAGGGTGGAGCAGGGGGAGGTGGTGACAGGCAGGCAGGTAGGGTAGCATAAGAGAGAAGAGAGTGGCAAGCGGAAATGGGATTATGGAGCTAAAAGGAGCAGCGGAAGAAGAAAGTTGGAAAGAAAATGGGGGCGAAAGGAGATTGACGAATGATGAGAGGTGATGCGGAGCAGAGGAGGTGGTGATGCGGAGTGAGAAGGTGGGAGGCGCGAAGAGGTGGAGGGAGAGGTGGAGGGAGAGGTGGAAGGAGAGGTGGAAGGGACAGCCGAGCGAGAGATCAAGGCGTGGCAAGGGAAGGAGGTGCGGTGCAGAGTGGTGCAGAGCAGCTGACCTGTGCGACGCGCAGCTGCGTCTTGATGGACACCGCGATGGGCGCCGGGCCTGCAAGCATGGGGGCGAGAAGTGCCGCAAGGGGAGGTGAGGGTTGAGGGGGGTGTGAGTTGAGGAAGGTGTGATTCTAGGGAAACGAGTTCAGTGGGGTGATTTCCCGGGAGTTGAGGGTTCAGGGTGGGTAACAGATGTTTGAGTTTCCGCAATGTTTGAGTTTATGCTGCGAGTAAACGGCACCTGCAGCAAGCCCTGGCGCTCCGCCACTTGCGCCGTGTCCGCCCATTCCGCCCATTCCGCCCACTCCGCCCAAGCCCCCGCTAGGCGCGCCTGCGCCGACGGCTGTCATGACCGGCATGTGGTGGGACGTGCCGCCCCCGCCGGAGAACGGGGAAGCGGACGGCACGGGGTGCGCCACGCGCGGGTACATGGCGGCCGGCCCGCTGCCGGAAGGGGCAGCGCGGCGGTCGTATGCGCCGACGGCGGGGTAGGCGGACATGGGATGCCGCGCGGAGCCGACGAATTGCGAAAGTTGGCGACGGTTAGGCTGCACCAGCTACCGTTCTGATTAACGCTTTGATTTGACTAGAGTCAGCAGCAAGCAGCGGCGATAAATTCCACTTACGCTGGAGTACTATAAAAGGTGTTCAGGACGACGTGTACGTGAAATATTTGAACCGTTTCCGTTATGACTTGGCCGTCAGTTTCCAGGTCGTGTGTCGCTTCCGTCATGTTTCGCAAATGAATAGCTCCTTCTGAGTCGTGAGCGCTTGGTGCACTCTCAACTCCCTCAAATCCCCGGTTACCCTTCGCGAAACATTTGGCGGAAATACGAAATTTTGTATTTCGGGCTCGTTCGCTAAGGGGGAGGCATGTTCGCGGTGTTCGCCAGCATTTTTGAAAGCAAAAACGACGGGATCAGGAAGGTCAAGCACGCCTTCCTGATCCCGTCAGTTAGGGAACCTAGGCCTTGTTCTGCAGGCGCATCAGCCCGGATGGCTACAGTAAACCAGGGTTCCTGGTTCCTTCCTTGATAGTCTGTTGACAGGTTATCAAGGCTCGCGATAAGCGCATGGCTGCCGAGGCAAACCAATCCCGAATGCCTGCAGAACAGCCTGTTTGGCCACCGAAATTTAAATTGTCGCCGCGTTCCTTGTAGTTTCCAGTCCTAGCAATCTGGCGCATCAATAATGCGCGCATCATGCAACTCCAAGAAGTCGCATGATGCGCGCATCACCTGGTGCGGGGCTGGGACGAAGGCGTCAGGTACGTTCTGTCTGACTTCGACGAGCCCCGCTTTCCTTCTCCAATTTCACGAAATTGGAGATTGAAATGTCCGGACCACGAATTTCGAATTTCTCAATGTCTGAACCTCAATGTCCCATTTCCGCATCAGGCCGAGCCTCTGGCGCATCAGGCTGATGCGCCTGCAGAACACGGCCCTAGGATGCCGTCCGACCCAAATGGAATCTTGAGGGCCTGGCGAACGCCCTCAATTTTCCTCCATTTCGGACGGCTTCATGGCATTCTGAAATGGGGAAGCAATTTCGTCCCCGGGAAAACTGTCAAACATTACATGTTTCTACTTTGTAGGCTGTAGTGGGGCTTACCTTAGAGGGGACACAACTTAGGGTTTCCTACTTGTATCCCCCTTCATTCCTAATTCAATCATTCCTCGTATTATTCTCACATGGTATAGAGCGGGTTCCCTAGTGGGATCGTTTTTTTTTTTAAGGGCCCACCACTACGATTTTTTTTCCCTACCTGCCCGAAGCGCGCTTCGCGCTTGCCTTATCTGCGCCCCGTGCGCCTGCCCTCCCGTCGCGCGCTCTGCCCTTAGCGGCCCGTCGCGCCCTGTAACGGCCCCTTCGCGGCCTCTTCACCGCCCTTCGCGGCCCCCTCTCGCGGCCCTTCGCGGCCCCCTCTCGTGGCCCTTCGCGGCCCCTCTCGCGGCCCTTCGCGGCCCCCCTCGCCGCCCTTCGCGGCCCCCTCGCGGCCCTTCGCGGCTCCTTCGCGGCCCTTCGCGGCCCCCCTTCGCGACTCTGCGCGGCTCTTCGCCGCCCGCCTGCTCGTCGTAGCGGCTCTGCCGCCTCGTCGTCGCCGCCCCTGCCGCCACTGTCGCGGCCACCTGCCCTGCAGCAGCTGCCGTCGCCCTTGCTGCTGCCGCTGCCGAGCCTGCAGCCGCCCTGCCGGCCCTCCTGTCCCGGCCCTGCCCTGCCGCCTCGCCGCGGCCCCTTGCCCTCTCGGCCCTCCACTCCGGCCACGGGTAAGCGCACCGCCGTACCCGCGCGCTGCTGCGCCCGCGCCGCCCTGCCGAGCCGCGCCGCCCTACCGAGCCGCGCCGCCCGGTCGAGTCGCGCTACTGCTGCTGCTTCTAGGCCACTGCTGCTGCTCCTGCTACTATGGCTAGCCCTGACGTACTCACCTTCGATGCTGAGGGTCGAGCGGTTGATTTTGAGGTCTGGGTCGATGATCTGCAGCTGTTCCTGCAGTGTGATAGCAAGGATGGAGTCTCACTCTTTGACCTCACTTCTGGCGCCTCTGCTGCACCTGCTGCTGATGTTGCCAGTACTGTTCGCTCACATTGGACCACGCGCGATGCTGCTGCCCGTCTTGTTGTCCGTAGTCACCTGCCGTCTGCTGAGCGCGCGCACTTTAGCCAGTACAAGACTGCTAGCACTCTGTACGCTGCTGTTGTTGCGCGCTACTCCTCCCCTGCCACTGCTGCCCTTAGCCGCCTCATGCTGCCGTACCTGTTCCCTGACCTAGCTGCTTTTGCCACAGTCGCTGACCTCATTACGCACCTCCGCACTAGTGACACCCGCTACCGCGCTGCGCTTCCTGCCGAGTTCTGCGCCAAGAACCCCCCCCCTATGTACATCACTCTCTACTACCTCGTCACCCGGCTCCCTGACTCCCTTTGCTCGGTCAGGGACCACTTCCTCTCCCTTTGCCCCACCACGCTCACCGTTGACCTCCTCGAGGAGCGCCTCCTTGCAGCTGAGAAGAGTATAGTAGCTGTAGGAGCCTCTCGTGGTGACCCTCGTGCCCCTTTCTTTGAGGGGTGCTCCCCCGTCCCTCTTTTGCCCTCTGTTGCCTCTGCTGCTGCTGTCGACCTCGTTGGCACCGAGTCGGTCGGCGCTGCGTCTGCCCCTAGTGGGAAGCGCCGCTACGGCAAGGGCAAGGGGGGCAAGGGGGTTGGAGGGGATGGCGGGGGCGGCGGTGGTGGCGGTGGAGGAGGCGGAGGGGGTGGGGGTGGAGGTGGGAGTGGTGGCGGGAGTGGGGGCTTCGGTGGCGGCGGTGGAGGTGGAGGCGGCGGAGGCAGCGGGAGTGGGGGTGGAGGTGGCGGCGGCGGCAGTGGAGGTGGGGGTGGCGGGGGCGGTGGTGGGCAGCGGGGAGGCTCTAGCGGTGGCCAGCGCCAGCAGCAGCAGCGCTCCCGTGAGACCCCGTCGCCTCAGCAGCTCCGTGAGTGGTACGCTGGGCGTGGGAGGTCTGGGGGTGCTGGTCCCTGCACCTACGTTCTTCGCACCGGCGACCGCAGTGGAGAGACGTGCGGCGGCCCACACACCACTCCACGCTGCTTTGGCCGCCTGACTGACGCCTGGCGTACACAGTTCCCTGGCTCCACTAAGATCCCTCGCTGGGATATTCTGCTTAAGTCGGGGGTTGCTATCTTTGATCTTGATTATGATGCTATCCTTGCTGCTATGTATGCTGTGTCTATTAGTGCTGAGGGTGACTGTTACCTGTGTGTTCCGCCCGACCCGGGCATTGAGGCTGCTGCTCTAGGTGCTAGTGAGTCTGCTGCTCCAGGTGCTGGTGAGGCTGCTCTCTCAGGTACCGAGTCGGCTTAGGTCTTGCACACTTTCACCCTTGACTCGGGTGCTTCCCGCTCCTTCTTTCGCGACTGCACCACACTCTCGCCGCTCAGTCGGCCGGTGGCAGTCTCTCTGGCTGACCCCTCTGGGGGACCAGTTGTGGCCCGTTCCTCCACTGTTCTCCCGTGTCCTGCGGCTCCGTCCGGCTCGCTGTCTGGTCTTCACCTCCCCTCGTTCTCTACGAACTTGGTGGCGGGTGCTGATCTTCAGGATGGGGGTGTTCACCAGTTCACCCCTGCCTATCAGCGTGTGACGCACTGCACGTGTGCTCGGACGGGCCGTCACCTGGCCACGTTCACCCGTCGGCCAGGGTCCAGCCTGTACACCCTTACCACTGAGTCTCCTCCTGTCACTGCGACTGGTCAGGTAGCCGCGTCGGGTCAGGTGTTTGCTGCAGCGTCCCGGTCTGGCCCTGAGTCTGCCCCCTGCTCGTGTCGCCTCCTGTCTCACGAGACTCTCCTTTGGCACCACCGCCTTGGTCACCCCTCCCTGCCTCGTCTTCGAGGCATGGCCTCCCGTGTCCTTGTCTCAGGTCTTCCAGAGTCCCTCCCACCCCTTCCTCCGGGGCCTGCCCCTACCTGCGTTCCCTGCGTCGAGGGCCGGCAGCGCGCCGCTCCTCACTCCTCCGAGTTTCCTCCGACAGAGGCTCCCCTGCAGACTCTTCACATGGACGTGTGGGGCCCAGCCCACGTCCGTGGACAGGGTCACGAGCGTTACTTTCTGCTGGATGTTGACGACTACTCGCGTTACACCACGGTCTTCCCCTTGCGCCGCAAGGGTGAAGTCATTGAGGTGTTGATCGACTGGATCCGCGCTGCTCGTCTCCAGCTCAGAGAGAGTTTCGGCTCGGAATTTCCTGTTCTGCGTCTGCACTCAGACAGAGGTGGTGAGTTTTCCTCCGACCTTCTGCGAGCTTTCTGTCGGGCGGAGGGCATCCGCCAGACGTTCACGCTTCCGGCCTCTCCACAGCAAAATGGGATTGCTGAGCGCCGCATTGACATGGTCATGGACGTCGCTCGTACGTCCATGATCCATGCGGCTGCTCCCCATTTTCTGTGGCCGTTCGCGGTTCAGTACGCGGCGCATCAGATCAACCTCCAGCCCCGGGTCTCCATGCCGGAGACCACCCCCACTCTGCGGTGGACGGGGAAGGTTGGCGATGCGTCTGCGTTCCGTGTCTGGGGATCTCGAGCTTTCGTCTGCGACTTGTCTGCGGACAAGCTGTCCTCCCGTGCCGTTCCCTGCGTCTTCCTTGGCTTCCCCCCTGACGCGCCTGGTTGGCAGTTTTACCACCCCACCTCGCGCCGTGTTCTGTCCTCTCAGGACGTCACGTTTGACGAGTCGGTTCCTTACTACCGCCTCTTCCCCTACCGCACTGCCCCCCTCCCCCCCCCGCCGCTCTTCCTCGCGCCAGGTACTCCTCCGGTAGACCCCCTCCCCCCTCAGGGTCCTGCCCCCTCAGGTGTGTCTCAGGTAGACGCAGTCGAGCCTGTTGAGGTAGCAGTTGACTCTGGTGCTGCTGGGGGTGCTGAGCCTGGGGTTGCTGAGTCTGGGGGTGCTGAGCGTGGGGTTGCTGAGTCTGGGGGTGCTGAGCCTGGGGGTACTGAGCCTGGGGTTGCTG